AAAAAAGGACCCGCGCTGTCTCGAGGTGCTGGGCGACGCCAAGAAGATCACTGCCTACGGCGAGGAGACGTTTAACAAGTGGAGGAGGGCGCGGCCTATTGCGTAGGTTTTGCGTCGTTCTAGATCGGGGAAAATGCTAATGAGGACAGCTCCACCTTGACGAAGGACGGACAGGGGAATGAACATCTCATGATTCACTTTAACGTACGTTACATATAGACCCCCTTCATGTTGTCGACCCCTTGCTCATATACCGCAGGTACAAGGACCCAAGGGCGGGGGTGTCGTGCAAATGCACTTGATCAGGCGAAACGGAAGAGAGGATTTCGAGTACAAGTACTTTTTTGTCGATGTCCGGGGTCACCCGCGAATATATCTGGAAAACGCAGACGCATCATTAGCCGCCAAGAAGGGTGATCAAAAGGGGTTTAAAATGTTTGGGATCAAGTGGACTTGAAGGGATACCATGGGTACCGGCCAAACCGATCCCAGCCGGGCCGATGTATTGAGTTGGCGTGAATCACGCCTTATGTGTTAATAATGTACATTTTTGACGACCCAAAGTCTAAAACATGATTCCGTGCCCTTTTGCCGCTGTGTAAACTCGGGGACTCGAGTCTCAGCTCCCGTCTCCCGAGGGTATCACTCTTACCCCCCACACATTCCCATGCCTTCACAAAGAAACAGATGAAGGAAGACCGCCCAATACACTCCCAGATCCCTTCCCGCCCCACATCCCAGACACATTTCAAGTCGCTCTTCAACCTCTGTGTGCCCTGTATACCACCGGGCTCCGAAACAGACGATGAAACAGAAAAAAAAGGCAAAGAAAAAAAATTACACGGGTCTATACAGAGCCCGGCACGAAAGAAAACGAGCAGAATGCAGAAAGATGAGAAAAAGAAAAAAAAGTCTAATGCTCCTCCTCGCCCTCCATCTTGGCGATCCACTTGTTCATTTGGGCGTATTTATCCTCAAACGTCTTTTGCAGCCGCTCGCACGCCGCCCACATCGGATCGTCCTTGCTCCAGTACGTGTAGCAGTTGGTAAAGATCTGGTTCATGTCGACCAGGAATTCGTTCTCGTCGTGGTACTCGTGCCGGTCCATCTTGGCCTTCATGGTGCCCAAATCCATCGGCCGCTTGACTTTGTCGAGGTAGTCGGGCACGCCGTCCGAGACGGGGTCGACCGGTTCTTTAAATGGCCCGACGAGGCGTGTCCAAAATCCTAGACAGAATGTTAGTCGAGTTATAATCTGATAAAAACAGGGGGGGAAGGGGGGTACCTGGACCTGACAGCATCCTGTACAGCAAGTCCCTGCAAAAATCGATCTTTTGCGACGTGGTGATCTGATGATCGCTACTGACAGCGAGAGAGCGCCGCTTCTGAACTTGCTTCGTCGCTCCCAACGACGGTCTCCCCACCGGTTTCTTGTTGGCTACCTTGGTAGGTGGCGGCGCCGTATTGCTTGGGAGGACGTCAGAGTATCGAGCCTTCTTTAGGGGCGGCAGCTGGACGTCGCTCGTATCGTTATCTTCAACATGCTGGATTCCCCGCCGCTGTGGTGCTAGTGTTGATGGGGGCGACGCTGGAGCTGGCGGAGCGCTGTCAAGCGAGCTCATGGCTACCACCAGCTCACTGAGGACCTCCTGAGGAAGTGACCTAGCAAATTCTGCGCGCGACTCCGAAGATCGCATATACTCGGCCGCCCATGACAGAAGCAGCTTTCGGATCGACGAGCCCTCGGGTGTGTCTTGCCAGACCCGGACAAGAAGGGGTGGTGCTGGGATGTGCTGCGTGGCTCGTCGGCATTCCGTCATGGCGTCGAGAGTGGCGTCGCAGAGACCTTCGATCCCCAGGTCGTGGCCGAGTTTCCAGACGCCTATCAATATCTCGTATGTGGGTAACTTGTCCAGGCTCGGCGACACCCTCCCAGTGAAGAGGAAGTTTTGGGCAAAGGCAAAGACCTCAAGAGGGGTGTCAGGTAGCCGCACGAGATGCTCGACTGTGTCGCTTGAGTTCTCGGCAAAGTACTTTCGATAAAACGTGGATTTTGCACAGAGGAAGTCTTTTTGGATGCCGTAGGGTGTCTCATCTGGGCCGACAAGGACAATGACGAACAATGGGTGTGGGTCACTGCCCGTCAAAGTTAGCAGAAGCAGTGTGAACGAGGGCTCAAGACAGCTTACAGCCACGAAAAAGGGGGTGTATCGGGTACAGGAACCGTCATATTTTCTGTCGTGGCCGCTTCCGGGGTGCTTTTGGCACCGTTGACCTCTGTTTCTTCTGCCATGTTCCTGTGGTCTGTGTTAGTGTGGTGCAACAAGCTGAAAGCTGAAATCTCTCGATGAAGGTCCTGTAAGTCCCAGTGTCAAAAAGTTGAATGGGGAAAAATAATCTTGGTCCGGGCACGAGTTGAAGCTGTCCTACTGCTTGCTTGCAGCTTGTCGAGGCCCCCCATTATCATCAGATCGGACAGAAGATCCAGCGATGATAGAAGGAAAAACAATCCAAATTTCAGATTACTTACTCTGACAATCACAGAGATGAACTCCTAAGCTGCGATGAGCAGCTATACATGAATCTTCAGGCGTAGCCCGGGCTCAAGAAAACAGGCGGTGCAGAGTGAGACTGAGCAGACCGATGAGGGGTCGCGCGACGAAAATGAGGGGCTGGATGATGAAGCGCGTCGTCGGATATATAAAACAATTATGAGATGGGATACAGAGTCGTGGGCGGAAAGATGATGTTGATGCCGATGAAGCATAAGAAATGGTGTCGCGAATCCCAGCTGAGCTCGTGAGGTTGGAAATGTGCTGTGAGAATTGGCGAATAAGCGTCCAGCAAGCCTGGCTCACTCAACCGGGAAGGCGCCCCGGACACGGCTGGCACGGGCCTTGCGGGACCCTGGCAGCTGCACCGGCAGCTGGCAGGCTTTGCCGTTTGCACTCCACCATCTTCAACGCCAGGGCAACACCAACTTCGTGCAGCTCCTCCAACAGTTGGGTGTGGTTGAGAGCACTTTTGGTCATTTGACAGCTCGGTTCCCTCGGTTTCACGGCCATTCAAATGGATGCCACGAACTGCCAGCTGTCCTGCACTGGCAATCGCCCGCCAATTCGCTTTTCTCATCATCGGCTCGTCTTTCGGCCTCGCCATCAGACATGATTCGCAGTTACGGAGACAATGTCACCTTTACGTGCATATCTCAGGCCGTTTGGATGCCAAAACAGGAAGCAAGATTCATCGCATTCATCGGGTTGACGACAGTGACGCGCAACCTGGGCCTCGGCCAATCGTGTTTTCGGCGACGCGATTGGCTGCGCTTTCGCAGCCGCAATGGTGCATATACGCGGATTTGGTGGTTGCAAGAGGCCTCTGATTCGATCCCTTCGCAGTTATCCAGACTTATAAAACAGCAGGAGACCTTCCATCATGGAGGACAGGGAGACGGACACTCGAGAACCATTTCCAACCTGAAATTCCCCGCAAATGGGCTGCAACGAGTCGGTCCCGGAACCCGAAGCCGTCGCCACACCCTTCCTCTCTGACTTTGACACTCGAGAATCGAGCCCTGTGCCGCTATCCATCATGGGCCAGCCGCAGAGCCAGACCCCAGGCATGAGCTTCCTGTCGAGCCAGCACGAGCGTCTCATCCTCGAGCTGCTCCCGCTGAAGGATCAACGCCAGTTTCACGAGTACGTCTTCCACCTGCTCATGTCAGGTCATCTCAGAAGTGCTCACTCATCTTGAACAGATGGCTTAACAGCGTCTACGTCCGCGGGTCCTGGTACGAGTTCCAGCACGATTTTCTCTCCCACAGCCCGCTGGCTCCCGAACCCGACAAGGCCAAGATCGCCCAGCTGGCCAAGGACGCCGTCAACTCGCGCAGTCAGAAGTATCTTGTCTATCACCCCGACAAGACTGGCTGGACGTCAGAGGATCACCACGTCCGCTTCATTGTTACGCTCGTGAGCGACAACTTGCTCAAGAACATGTGGAGCGAGAGCGAGTGGAAGAAACGGGGTGTCGAGATCGCCAAGGCTGGCTATGAAGTGTTGAGCTTTCTCCGGGCTACCTTTGCTGCCGGTGTTGATGTGAATCCACCTCGGTATGCTGACTAGTATTTTCCTTGGAAGTGCAAGTTGTTCGTGTTTTGCCGGAGTGCTGGGTTGCTTGGTTTATGGTGTATTAGGATCGATTTGCTTGCGTAAATATACCCCTGAGAGTCATGTTGCCCATGACGTATGAGTCTTGTGTGGATATCTGAGTTCATGTATGCAACTTGAGCAGTCATTGCTCTCCTACGTCCTTCCCGATGACTTTACCATGGACAGAAGGTGTGTCGTCGTGACAAATGAACCCCCGAAAGGCGTGGGTTGCAGTCAAGTTACTTGTGGGAGAGCTGAGTCCAAGTTCTGCGATACAGTCAATTCTCATGGCTATCTAACACCCACAACAGAATATCCCTCCAGTTGCTCAAGTCCGTCTTCATTCTGAAATCCCAATCTTACCCAGTCAGTCTCTGTCAAGGACAAGCATCAAGGCAATGCTTCTGCCAATTTTAGCCCCACTGACCAAATCTGAGATGAGGTAACCTGGCAGTGAACCGATTAGAAAATGTCTACACCAACCCTTTGACTTTCTCCGTGACTCACTAGCCTCCCCTATCGCGAAGCTGTGACTTGACCTGGACCCGAGTCTGAGTCTTGTAACAAAGAAATTCCAAAGGACAGTTGTGTGGGTTCGGGTACCTGGTACCGGGGGATGCCAGATGTCCAGGCCAGATCCCTTTCCTGAACCAACTGGGAGTTGCGACTTTGTTCACCTTTCAGCCAACCCAGTGCGGCATCCCCAAACGAAGGGGACAAAACGACAATGCCAACGGCTTGTCTACCACAGCAAAAAAAAAAAAAAACACGTTCACAATTGCTGTGGCACCCGGCAACATCGTGCTGAGTCCTTCCGCGCCATGCTAACTGGCCAAAATAAAAGGTATTTGGGCGGGCTGGGATTCGAACCCAGGTCTCTCGATGAACGCTTCGAATGATGAGTTTTAGAATAGAAAACAACGCTGGTTACGCTCACGGAGCACGCTTGACCACTGCGCTACCCGCCCTGTTTAGCTTCTTGTTGGTTATATGGTATATACTGTGTCTCGAGGTTATATACGTTACCCTGCGTTTCTTGTCTCAATTTAACCCCCTTTTGAGTACCTTACCTACCAAGTAGGTAACAAAAGATCTTCTGAACCGATCCACCCTCAGCACTCATCACGCCTGTGAATCGACAAAACAGCGATGTGAAAATACTCCCAAATCCATGTCCCGTACATGAGTAGTAGCCCATTATAAATGTTTGTTATTAAAACAGGTACATATATGCGATACTAGTCCCTCCAACTCCATGCTCCCCACGCTCCCACACTCCACATCACAAAGGTATCCCAGGTACATATTATCCAAAGGTACCCAAGCCATGCGCAACTAGGTATACACCAGAAACCCCCAAAAAACTCATCATGATGACTTGCCCTTCTCATCCGTCATATCCTCCCTACTCTCATGAAACACACTCCTCCTAAGAACCTGCGTCGGCGAGTGATTCGCCCCTCCCGCCCGCCGTTGACCCTGCGGCTCCTCCGTACTTTGTTCCCCGGCCTTCTTCTCACCGGCGCCTTGTATTTGCTGTCCCTCCCCCCGCCCCTTGGCAGATATATAATCCCCCCCACCACCTCCTATCCCTCCGTCCCCGGTAGGCGGTGAAGGCGACGACACCGCGCCGGCACCCACATCCCCCCCTACCTGTGCCCCCGTCGCCACAGAACTAACAGTCGTATCACTAATCGTCCGCAGATGCGCCCGATCGCGCTCACTGATATTCGACACGCCCGAGGGGATGTATCCCCTCGCCCCGGCCCCTGCCACGGCCGGCGAGACCGGCGGCGGCGCCGGAGCAGGCGGTGGAGTATCACCGGCGAGTTCCGAACTAGCATGCCTCGCACTCGCACTCGCACGCGCCGCAGCGCCGCTGGTGGCGACGGACGCCGACGAGGGCGAGGGCGCGACACTGGCGTGGTCGATCTGCTGCGTGCCCGAGGTTGTATAATGCGACCCGTTATTCAGCGAAGCACCGCTCGCGAGGCGCGAGTAGCGGTTCATCACGTCGATGTGCGAGAGGCCTGTGTCGTGGAGTTCTGGGCGGGGGGAGGTATCTACATCCCTATATTAGCATGACGACAGGTAAAAAGGGGGAGGGGACAACAAACCCATGAGCTCTACAGGCGCCCGGACCTCGGTATTCATCATCTCCGCCATGGATGGTGCATGCGTCGGTAGCGTGCTGCTTCTCTCGATGTCCTCTGGGCTAGAGGGTGTTTCGTCAGACGTGGTAACCGTCAGGGCCTTGTCGCCGCCGGGGTGGCCGCGCATCCAGGAGAGGATACGATGGCCGTTCGTATCCTCCGTCCCGGCCTCGGACATACCGCCCCGCGCGCGGAAGAGTCTGCGCCGGCGCCAGAGGAGGATCAGGACCGCCACCATGGTGAGGAATACCAGGCCTAGCACCACGCCGAGGACAGGGGGTAGGAACGAGGGCACACCGCCGCCGCTCGAGGACGTTGTCTCCGACGGTACATTGGGATTCGTATTATTAGCCGGACTCGCGGATTGGTACGGATAGTAAGTAGCGATCTTGGTGGACGGGTACTTGGTCGCAAAGACATTCCCCAGAGCGGCGTCGGACCATCCCGACGGGGCGGGGGTCGTCGCCGTCGCGCCTCCCGTGGGCGATCCGCCGATCTTGCTCACGACTGCGTCGGGGACCGCGTATTTGGACCACTTGGCCGGGTCGTACCGACTTAACCAGGTGCCCGAGGTCAGATTGAAGACGCGGATGGTTTCGCGGAGACAGGTTAGCGAGGAGCCGGTTCGCGTCGTGTAGCCGCCGATGACAAACATCTGGTCTGGGTAGGGCATGAAGCACTTGTGGCCGGCGCGGCCGCTCGTGCTGCCGCTCGCGAGCTTGGTCCAGGTGAAGGAGGGGAGAGACAGAACCCAGACGTCGTCGTTGAAGGGCTCGCTCTGGGAGAGGCCCGAGTAGCCGCCGTAGTGGTATATGTTGAAACTCGACGAATCTTGCGCCGGAGCAACTACCGCACAGCCCCGCGTGAGCTGTCCGGGGGAACCTCCGCTGGTGGGTTGACGGTACCACTTGCCGCTTGCGACATCGTAGACGTCGATGGTGGACATGAAGGACGGGCTGGTCGCCTTGCTTTCTGCCTCGTTTGATGATTTCCCGGTAAAACCGGTGAAGTCTGGGAAGATGACGCCGCCGATAGCAACGAGAATGCCCTGCTCGCCGACGGGCACCCAGACAAGCTCGGGATTGGCTCGGCCGGGGGTATCACTGGGTAAGGTCTCATTCTTCCAGCTCTCCTGCTGCTGCGTCGTCATGTCCAACGTGATCAGGGTGCTCGACACATTGATAGCCGTCAGGGATGCGTTGGCCCCGGGCTCGTAGATGGGACCCCAGCCCGGCGCATGCATTCCCGAAAAATACCATGCCTTGTTCTCGGACGGGGCTGCGGCGGCGCCGCCATAGGCAAGATAGCGTGTCATTCCCTTTGGGAGGTCGTCATATACAAAACCGGGAAGAAACCCGTCCTTCTGGACGCCGTATTGATACTTTTGGTAAGCCAACACGTTGGTCTCGCTTGGCTCCGAGAACTCCTTGGTCTGTCTCAGCATACCGCCATAGAGAAACCACTCGTCGTCGTTTCCGAGCATGGCACCATCAAGATAGTTCGGGGCCAGGTTCTTGGCGGCTGTCCCGGCGGCAACCTTGGATAATGTCCCAAAGACGGCCGTGATGTTGTCTGTAGTTGCAAATGGAGTGCTAAAGTTAAGTGTGAATACTATCCCAAGGGGGTTTCCTTCGACATATCAGTACCATACAAGGACCCAACCCAGCAATAATACACTTACGGTCGCTCTCGGGGGTGGCATAGCTGCCATCAGAGAGACCTGGTAGCCACCAAAGACCGCCGCCGTCCATGTAGACGGTATCGCGGACAACATGGGCTGGAACGATGTCAGCACGTCGAGGCAGTTGGGGTCGCTGTGCTGTGTCTTACCCCTGAATTGTTCCCATTCGCAAATGGTGGTATTCACCTGGTTTGATGCCCAGACGGCCTGACCTTGGACGACCGAAGCCGATACGGCCAACACGGCCAGGAGGCCGGAAGCCGGTCCGAACATGGCGAGGGACGGCGGGGGCCAGAGCCGATTCTGCTACACCGGCCGGATACAAGCGAGTGACCAAAAGACCAAATCAACTGAGACTACCCATCAGGCGCGGTGGATCCGGGTCCGGCCACTGTCAACAGCCAAGTCGCCGGCTTCGCGCAACGGCGTGGAACAGTGGGAGTCGAGCCTGACAACGAGTATTAGACGAGAATAGACCTCCAACGCCAACACAAGGGCCTGAGGCGGGAACAAAGTGCAATAAAGAGAGGACGACCGAAATACGAGAGCCACACGGCCGCTTTCTCTTCACGTGCAAAGCCACTCGTCCCCCAGCCAGGCCAGTGAAAGCTCGAGTCGAGATCCAGTGAGATCTTACCAGTTCCAACCCGTCTTCAGCACCCCGCAGCCAACACAACGGCACCAGCCAATGGCACGCGAGATGCCACAGCGTCGAGGGAGGTGTGGCAAAAGAAAAAAAAGGGAAGCGGCCCAGATGGTGTCGACGCGGAGGCGGGACAAGGCAGGGAGCAGTCAGTGTGTAAGTGCCCTCGACGGAACAATTAAACAGCCGTCGGCGGTGTTTGTAAATGTAGAGCCATTGGCATCGGGGCAGTATCTACTGTGTAGAAGCCAGCCGAGCCGGGCGATGGTGGGAGGGCGTCCTGTCTTCTCAGCCCGCGGTCGATTGGGGAAGCTCCAACAAGGCCGCCGCCCAGAACACGAGCTTTCCACGACCGTCCGATAGAGCTGACAGCAGCTTTGACAGACGAGGGTGAGGGGGGTGTGGCGAAGGCCCCGGTCAATGGGACCCTCCATCCAACCACCAGACTGCCCAGACTTCCTCCTGAGCTTTTCTTTCAGCCTTGTGGACGGACCTCGACAACACCGCCCTGAAAATAAGTCCATGGTCGCCATCCAATTGACGGAGAAGCGAGCCGATGCTCCAACTCACTCCAAGAACAAAAAACGAGACATCATCTCCGATCCGTCGGTCATGGACAAGTTTCTTGAGATGACAGGATCGCGCCGCGCCTTTCTCCTTTCGCGCCTGCGTTAGTCCTCGTCCAAGGGCTGACGGACAACAAGGGCCGGGCCCTGGAGGCCTGGCAGAGACCCGTCTCCGGGCCAAGTCTTTGTTTTCCCTCGCTCTGCTGTGGACTGTCCGGTAGAGAATGCACTGTAACTATGTCTGCGAAGCCGGCCTGGCACGACAGCAGCAGACAGACTTCCGGACAGCCATTCTCCCGAGGCGGGGGCGATAGTTACCATCATGTATCGTTGCAGCGGCCAGAAAGGATTTTGCTTTGTCGCTGTCTCTCTCGGTCCCGTTGCGACCCTGACAATCCTCTGCCGTCGGGCCCGGCTGGCCGCGATGGGAAGGTCAAAATGTCAATGTTAGTGTCAGCATCAGACGGGCATCAACGAGGTAGCAATTTTCGCAACCTAACGCTGAGAGTGCAGCGGTAAATGATCGCCGCTGACGGTCTCTTCATGGGCCCTTGGTAGCTCGTTGCATTGGGAAGGCGGGGAACTTGTGCGGAAGGGTCTTGGGGCTGGGGCTAGACCAATATGGGCAAGGCTGTCTTCGCACGTCATGCTCGGCCCCAGCCCCACCCGTGATCTCGTTCCCGCACGCTCTCCACACTCGCTTCCATTTTTCTGCCCACCAACCGCCGCTCGGCGACTGCCAGCCGCGCCAAGCTCCGAAGCTCTGCATGCCACAACAAGCTGACGAGTGCTCGCTGCCGAGGACTTGCGGGCTCTGACTGGTTGGGAGGAGCCATGCAACCATGGCATTCGCTGGCATCGCCAACTGCGTGGCTTTTTTTTCTCAGGTGCTCCCCGCACTTTGACTCGCTCGCTGCCCACGCAC